AGGTGTTAGGCCTAGTCCGCAGGGTGATGGATGCGACACACAGAAAAGGAGGGACAGAAATAAATTACAGAAATAAATTAGATAAACAATTTTTGCAGCGGTCCGCCCACTGCCACACAGACACGCGCCCTGGCGCCAGCAGCAGCAGCAACAGCAGCTGCAGCAGCACGGCACCAACACAGCGGACAAATGGCGGTCCTCAGAGCAGAGGCTCCCTTGCGCCGCTAAATCTCCCTTCATTTTCGTTTCTTCTGATTATTATATCGATTTGCATGCATTTAACCCCTAATTCATTGCAGTTACTCCCTACCCTCACCCCTATTGAGGAAACGCCCGGCGTAGCCAGCACCAGCAACTAGGGCTCACCGGTCCACCCCATCCGGCTCCCCGGAAGCAGTCCTGGTTGCTGCTGCGCTGCAGCTCTTCTTAGCTGCATCGAATTCATGTGTTCTCTGACTAAGTGGGGGCCTATGGAGGATCTTGTGGGGCCCCGGGGGCCCCCTCAGTGCACAAAGGGGCCCCAGCGTTTCTAGCGCCCCCCAACCCACGCAACTGCGGGGGCACTCACACCTCGGCTGCTGGCTTAACTAAATCAGTGCAATAGGATTTAATTTCACAGGAACCTCCAGTGGGAAGTTGCTCAGAGGGGCCCCACTGAGTCGATGGCCTCACTAGTTGGGGGCGGAAAGGCTCTAGAAAGGCCCCACAGTAGTGGGTTATGCTCTAGAGATGACCAGTGGTCACGGCTGGCTGCCACAGGGGCCCTTGCTGCACCTAAGGGTCCCTATTGCAGACCCTCAGTCCCCTCATAAGAAATACTTCCAAAGAAAAATACTTCTTGAGGTGGCTCTGGGCAGCAGCAACAGATGCCCGTCAATGCAGTGGGAAAACACTCGTTCGAGGCGTCGAGGCGTCAACAGATTTGTTTTGTACTTAGTTGTGTCTCTATAAATAACAAACACATGCATGCAGACATGTACACAAGTGTATATCTGTCTCCATATACATTTCTACGTGTGTAGTAATAGATGTATGTACAAACATGCACAGGCACAGACACTACACGTGTTGTCTGCATTTCGAGCTGAAAAGAAGTGAACATTTGGACTGAAGGCGTTTGCATCAATCAAAACATTTATGCAAATATCCTGCGGGAGAGACACAAAGGCTTTATTAGAAGCATGCGAATGGGGGTGCATGCGTGCATTATGCATGCATACAGATATATTTTATACATATTAGATGCAGTTGTGAACAAAGTCAGATAATGAATCTATAAAGCTGTGCATAGTTGCGAATCAGTTTGCACAGCATGCGCATGTGGAGTGTACGTACACGGTGGCTCCTTGTGAGTAAGTATTCATGAAATAGTTGTCCCTGCGCATTTCCATTATTTATTCTTGCCAATAAGCAAGTACAAATGTGTACATAAGAGTTTTAAATGATGCATGCAGGCAGGTTTATCTCTTCGATTTACCTCAGGATGCATGTATATATATATATACACATGTATATATATATGTATGTACGTATATTTACATAATGCATGCATGCATGCATATGCATGGAGGTGCATGCGCATGCATAAAGATATGTGTATATATGCATACAAAAATATATATTTATGCATATATTTTGTATGTTTCTGCGCAGGTGTATCTCTTGCATACATATCGGCTTGAAGTAAAATGAGAATGAAACAGCCACAGAAGCAATATATAACTATAAATGCATATATGTACTAATTTGCGCAGATTACATACATGTGTGTATTTCATTTATTTAATAATGAATATGCAAGTACTTACATGTGCATGTGCTTATGCCTGCGCATATATTCAACCACAAACAAAAGGCAAAGCGGAGAAGACGAGGGCGGGCGCGCTAGTCCGAAACCCTAAACCTTAAACCCTGAGCATAACTAGGGACTGAGCAAGCTTCAGTCCCGTCTGGTGCTTCGGAGCTGTCAGTTTCTAGGGCCCAGGGGGTTCTGGGCATCGGGTTTAGGACTTCACTAAGTCCTAAACCCGATGCACAGGACCTGCCCCTGCAAACAAGCTTGAGGGTTTCGGGTTTAGGGTTTAGGGCGCTTTCCATTTCTTTTCAGCCTAGGCCTTTCTTTAGAAGCGCCTCAGCCGTGCTTGGCTGCTTGTGCTTATATTTTAAAGCTTCACTTTCAAACGCGAAATGAGGAGAAAATATATGTATTCACTTTACATAGAATAACATACTTATACATATATATATATGCATATGGACTGTATGTACATCAATTAAAATCGTTCAGAATGTTCACCGTCTGTACACTGTACGCATATGATATGTGTGTTTGGCAAGGGCAGATCAATACATCGAGTCTTTAGGAAGTGCAAGTCCTACACATGCATAAATGTACATTATTTATATATCCTATATTCTATGCATTTCAATTCGTTTCAATTTCGTGCCTTCACTGCTTCCCCCACTGCCTCTTCTGCCCTCTCCTAGAGTTTAGGGTTTGAGAGCATAGGGGAGCGAGCCTAGCTGTGGGGCCAGGCGCCTCTCTCTCCGACACTGCAGCTAGCTGCAGCTGCAGCTAGCCGCAGCTGCAGCTAGCCAAAAGCATGGGCCCTATCTACAAATAGTGGATACATATGTTCATACGACACACATAATACCTGTATACCTTATATATGTACAAATATATATGTATGCACATGTACTTGATATATTTGTGAAGAGATACACATAAGGAATGCACGGAAATCCAATTAATATATGTACGACTTCTTAATCTCACTAGAACTCATTTGCCTTAGAATGGCGTAGCCAAAGAATGCCTGCAGCGCCTCCGCTGCCGTTTGGCTTGAAGCTGCTGTGGCAAAGGCCCCCAAACGGATAACCAGATTAATGCCATTTCCAGAAAACATAAATATCTGAGATAGTTGGACAAGGCATGCAAGAGTGCCACTTCAAATGCATGCAAATGCACGAGCCACGTGGAAGCGCTGCTCAAGACGCAAACTTATGCACGAACGCGGAAAACGCCTCTAAAAACAAACGCATGCATGCGGATGCATGCATATTCCTGTTGCATGCATCTTCGAGCCTATGGAGGTAGTTCAACATTTCAGACTTTCAGATACTAACTTAAGAGGCTGCTGCTGTGTGCCCCTGTAAGCCACAGGGCCAGGAGAGGACACGGGAGCAAATATCCGGCTATTCTCTGGCCTCGATACCAAAGGTAAACCCTAAAACCCTAGACTCTAAACCCTAGGCTGCGCTGCACCCTGCCCCACGGTTCCTTCAGTGTGGCCCCACTCCTGGCTAGCCGAACCAGGTGTCGCATTATTGCTGCTCCTTCGTGCTGCTTCAGACTAACGCGCTGCTGCAGCCGCTGCACGCCTAAGGCAACAGCATCAGCAAAGAGTCTACACGGCGCTAGGACAGCAAGGACGCACACGCAGCAACATCCTGCTGCTGCTGCGAACGCGGGAGACGCTGCCGTTGCTGCAGGAGAGACCCATATTCCCTGCAGGCTGTTCTATTTGTCCTTCAGCACTGAGTGCAGACCTAGTGAAGGAATGCAGCTGCAGCAGCCCACTGAGGTTAACGGAATCAGCAGCAGCAACGGCTGTTCGCGCTGGTGCAGCAGGTGCAACAGCAGCAAAAGGGATATTCGGGCACAGCGCAACCACTGGGAGTAGCAGCGCATTTTTATTTCTAAATAACAAAAATGTATAGCGGCATAAGCAAACTGCACGGTGGGGAGGTGTGCAAGTAGCAGCAGCAGCCATCGTCCGCAGCAGCAGCAGCCGCAGCAGCAGCTGCAGCCTTCGGGCTGGCTTCTGGCCCCGCAGGAGGCTGCAGGTGTGTTAGTTGGTCATATTAAAGCCAAATAAAGACAGCAACAAATAGAGCAATAGCGATACATAATAATAAGCTCTTAAAATCAGATTTTTGCTGTTTGTGTACTGCAGTAGCAGCAGCGAGAGCAGGCGGTGGGCGGCGCGATGCAGAGGCCAGCCGCAGCAGTTGCCATCCAGCCTACAGCAGCAGCAGCAGCAGCGGTGGCGCGCAGCAGCAGCGGCGGGAGCAACAAGAGCAGCAGGTCTATGTTTGGCAGTTTTAGGCATAAATATACATTCTTTGTAGCAGCAGCAGGGGCTAAAGAAGCGAGGGGGGCCCTAGTTAATCTAAAGGGGGCCATCTGTGTTCCCCCAGCAGCCTCAGTCGAACCCTCTGCTGTCTGTAGAGCTGAGTTGGACTGCTGGGCAGCTGCAGCCCCGTGAGGCCCAGCATTTCTTTATCTTCTTTTTGCTGCTGCAGCAGCAGCAACAGCCGCAGCACCACCACGCTGTCTCTACGGCCAGACACCGCACCCAGGCCCTCAAGCCGGGAGCCTCCCACCCTTCGTGCTGCTGTGCTTTCTTACAGCAGCAGCACAACCATCGCACAACCAACCCCACCGCTAATTTAGGTACGCACTAGCTGTAGCAGCAGCACGGGCAGCAACAGCAGCAGTGCTGCTCCGGTCCCCCAACTGTGCTGCTGCTCTGCCGGGGATCCCGGTGTTGCTTCCTTCGGGGGCTTCTGGGGCCCCCAGAGGCTCCCGGGGGCCCCTGAGGCCTCGGGGCCCCCCGTGGCCCCTATAAGGAGGGTTTGACCTCCCAACTCTAGGGGCCCACCGTGTACAGCCAGGAGTTGTTGAGGCCTAGGATGCGGGGGCTAGGGTTTAGGGTTTGTGTGTGTTGCTGGATGCAGCTACGGCTTTTTGCCTGTATTTGGCGGTGCTAGCTAAATAGCAGCTGCTTTGCAGTAGACGTCAGCAGCAACAGCAGCAGCAGCAGCGGCGGCGCGGCGCAGCAGCAGCAGCGCAGCGCAGCAGCAGCAGCAGCTTAGAGACATCTGGGGGCTCACTTGGCCTGTCTCGTAGGATGCCCCTCGAAGGAAAGCGTGCAGCCACAGCCGCACGGCGCTAGGGGCTCCCTTGCAGCAGCAGCAGCAGCAGCAGCAGCAGGATGTCGACACCTCTCGACCCTCCTTCTTACCCTCGCCAACGCGGCGGCAAATTCGGGGGACGGTTAGTAGTACATTTTATTTCTTCCCGATTTCCAGAAGACAATTTAAAATCAAAATAATAGAGCCTTTAAGGCCTGGATTGGCTGCTGCTGCTGCTGCAGCTGCTTCCTCCCCCTATTCACGTTGTTAAAAGTTAAAAGTATAATTGTCACATTTGTTTGCTTATCATTATTACTGTCACAGTAGTGATCTATTTTTGGGTCTTTGGTGAAGGCTGCTGCATAAATAATTGCATTTTGAATTGTTGGAATGTAGAGTTGATATAAAGAAACCCTCACTCAAGCAGCTCTTGCTGCTGCCTCTGCTGCTGCAGCACCAGAGGCTACCACCACCACGGGGGCTCTGGCAGGTCCGGGGCCCCGTATAGGGGGGGGGGAGGGCAGGGGCCCCTTCACCCCCACGGCCACCAGGGGCCCCCAGGGGGGGGGCCCCAGCTGCAGCACCAGCAGCACCAGCAGCCGTACCCTCACTCTGCAGTGTACGGGGGCCCCCACGGGGGCCCTGACCCCGAATCCATGCCACCCCCCACAATTGGGGGCCCCGCCCAAGGGGGGCCCCACCACATGCAAAGAGCAGCAGGGGGCCCCCAGCTGCAGCAGCAGCAGCCGCTGCCGCCTCACCATATGCTGGGGGGGCCCCCGCAGCAGGGCTTTATGAGGGGACGGGGGGGACAGCAGCAGCAGCTGCCAGCTACTGATGGACACCAGCAGCAGCAGCAACCGGTGACTCACCCGTATGACCCCCACCACATGCAGCAGCAGCAGCAAGCAGCAGCAGCAGCAATGATGCATGGAGGGGGCAGGGTGGCTCCTATGCTGCTGGGACCAGCAGCAGGAGCAGCAGCAGCCCCGGGCCCCCTAGGCGAGGGCCCCGGGGGCCCCCACCATGGAGGGCCCCCTCCACGGTTCGACGGGCCGCATCACCCTAGCGAGGCCCTGCAGCAGCAGCACCAGCAGCAGCAGCAGCAGCTGCTGCTGCTGCAGGTACGAGACATGCAGGAGCAAGGCGCAGAACGTGTGGGGCCCCCCCACCCCATGCATATAGACCCACATCACCACCACCCCTATGGCCGGGGGGGCCCCCCTGGCGTAGGGGAGGCGGCACTCCAGCAGCAGCAGCATCACCACGTGGGGGGTCCCCACGGCGCAGCAGCAGCAGCAGCAGCAGCAGCAGGCTACCGCTACGACGCAGTGCCTCTGGTAGCTGGGGCCTACGGGACCCCACTTGCTGTTTATCCTGCCTACGGGGACATGTGGGGGGGCCCCTCGGGGGCCCTGCAGCACCGCCCGCAGCAGCACCCGCTGCAGCAGGCGGGGCCCCGCAAGAAGAACGCCTTAGAGATAAGAGACCCGAAGACAGGTAGGGTTATAAATGGGGACCCCTCACTAAATGAGCAGCCGCAGCAGCA